ATCCTGGTGTCAGAGAGAGGAAACTGACTTTGGAGCCAGAGGACCTGGGTTTGAATACTAGCTCTGCTACTTATTCTCTATGTGCCCATGGGGAACTTAACTTACTCCATCTCTTAACTTCTCCAGGCTTCATTTCCTCATCTACAAAATGAGTTCATTAGATTGGAATTGGGTTATTAACCTGGAATGGAGTTCATGACCTCTTGCTATAGAAAGATTTCATGAGATCTGTGAACTTGGATGGGAAAAAAATTACAACTGTATTTTAACACACCTCTAATTAAAATTTAGCATTTTTTTCAATTATGAATTTTTTAAAAAGTATTCTGACCAAAGGTCCATAGGTTTCACCAGACTGCCCAGGAGGTTCATGACACACAAAAAAGTGAAGCGACACTACATTAGATAATCTCTAAGACTCTGCCCAGGGCACCTAGGTGTAGTAGTGGATAGAATGCCAGGCCTGGAGTCTTCCCAAGTTCAAATCCAACTTCAGAACTTGCTAGTTGTGTGACCCTGGGAAAGTCACTTAACCTTGTTTGCCTCAGTTTCCTCATTTGTAAAATAACAAACCACTCAAAAAAATTCCAAATGGGGTTATGAAGAGATGGACAGGACTGAAAAATGACTGGAAAAAAAGAAAAAGACTGGGGCAGCTAGGTGGCGTAGTGTATAGAGCACCGGCCCTGAAGTCAGGACAACCTGAGTTCAAATTCGGCCTCAGACCAAACACTTGACACTTACTAGCTGTGTGACCCTGGGCAAGTCACTTAACCCCAATTACCTAAAAAAAAATAAAATAAAATAAAAAAGGCTGTCCAGTCTGTCATTCTATGAAAGACTGAGAAATGAAGTGATTAGCTTAAGTTAAGGTCTCCTGGCCTAACTTAACTTAAGTTCCTGGCTATTTAGTGCAGACCTTGGCCCAGAACCCAGAGGTATTGTCCCCTCCCCTAGGAAGGGACTACTGTTCCAAAGCCCACCAAGCAAATTACCGAATCATAGTTGAATTGACTAGAATGAGGCTGGCCACTTAGTTTTGTACCCTATATCTTTCTCCAACTTTCTCACCATACACTTTGTCTTAAATAAATGAAGTAAAATCATTTTGGGAAGGTTGGCAATCTTTACCTGTTTTTGAATTTATTCTTCTCTAACAAGCCACCCTCCATTTGAATATTTCTATGGGGGTCCTCTACTGCTGTTGATTGCAATCCATTCTTGCTTTTCTGTCTTGTGCTGGCCTTGTCTGTGCATTTCCATCTACCCACCCTGCTTGGGAGTCTTCCTCTGGTTCCTTTCATTTCATGACCATGAGAGTAGCAAATGGGCTGTCCGTCGGTTTTCCCTCACTCTTTTCCAGATTAAACATAGAAAGAGGCAGCTACAAGAGCAGCTGTGATTTGAGAGATTACGAGAAAGGCCCCCTCTCCTCCAAAATATGGACTAGTAAGACTTGGGTTGAAGCCCCACCTTTGACACATACTAGCTGAGTGACCCTAAGCAAGTCATTTAACTTCTCAATGCTCTGGGCCAGTGGTTTCCAAAATAGAGGACCTTGCTCCCTCATGTGGGCTTTATCCCAGGGGCATTGTGGTCTGACCTCAAAGGGTTATGTGGCCAACCAGTGGGAGGTGGAAAGTGGATCCCATCCCACCCTCAAGTGGGGCTTGTCTTGAACTCAACCACACCTCTCTTCTCCCTGTCCCTCCCTCTACTGTGCAAATTCCCAACTTTTCCCCTTCTGTATCTGGCATCACTCTTTAGAGCAGTTACAATGCGGGAATAACCTAACTGCTACCCAGGTACAAACAATATCAGCTGCACAAGTGCCCTTAGGAAAAATTGGCATCCCATCCACAGACTCCCCATCTGCCCTGTACATCAGATCATTTTGTAATGGTAGCAGGCAACCCTTAGAAGATGGACCCTGGCTCAGGGGCAGTGACTGGTGAGAGCCCTGCTTCCTTCTTTTCATTTAGGGTGGGGCAGAGTAATGCCCACAGGATCATCAGGCATGGGTGGGTTCCAATATCCAATATTGGATCCACTATTGCAGATCTTATTTCCTGTTACTGATTTCCCCTTCTCCCTTCAAATTTACTCCTCTTCTCAAATTCCTTATATTTTTATTGAGGATGCTACTATTTTTCTAATCACTCAGGTGTTTAGGCTTGTTACCATCTTTATTTCTTCTAATAAAATCTTGTGCTTTTACCTCTCTAGTATCTCTCCTGAATGTCTCTCTTCCTCTCCAGTAAAATGGCAACCAGGCTAGTTCAGATCTTCATTACCTCTCACCTGGACTATTTCATTAGCCTCCTAATTGGTCTCCTGCTTCAAATCTCTCCATTCTCCAATACATCCTACACACTATTGCCAAAAGAATATTCTTTAAACTCAGATCTGGACAGGTGACTCCCCTCCTTAATCAACTCCAGTGGCTTCCTGTTTCCTGTAGGATAAAATATAAATTCTATTTAGCTTTTAAAGCCCTTTCCATCCTGGTCCCAACCCATCTTTCCATCCTCATTATACATGACTTTCTCTTTCAAACTCTGGGATCCAGTCAAACTGACCTTTTGTCTTTCACCCACAGCACTCTGTCTCTAATCTCTGTGCTTTGCTTAGAATTCACTCCCTCCTTACCTCTGTCAGTCTGCCTGCCTCAATAGGTGATTTGGGAAAGCGTAGACAGCAGTTGGGAAAATCAGGAAAGGCTCCGTGGTGTAGAAGATGGAACTCTCTTCCCTTACAACATAGATCACACGCTGTTCTTCTACACCATGAAGCCTTTCCCTGATTTCCCCTAAGTGCTAGTTCCCTCTTTTCCAAATTACCTTCTATTGAGGTGGTTAGGTGGCTAGTGTAGTGGGTTTGAAGTCAGGAGTTCAAATCCAGCTTTAGACACTTAATAGCTATATGACCTTGGGCAACTTACTTAACCTGTTTCCCTCATTTTTCTGGACCATCAAAAGGAGATAATAATAGCAACTACCTTGCAGGGTCATGAAGGATCAAATAAGATAATATGTGTAAAGTGTTATCACATTGCTTGGCACATAGGTGCTATATAAATGCCAGCTATTATTATTAACTATATATTTGTATCTATTCACTTTATATTTATGCTGTTTATATTTTCATTTTTCTAGTTGTCTCCCTTTTTGGAATATAAGCTTCCTGTAAATAGAAAGCTTACATCCCAAGGTGATGTAATCTTTCCAAAAACTAGTTTGTATAAAAAACAATGTAAATAGGGATTGGGATTGCTGTATTTTTTTTTATTTGTATCCCCATTACCTGGCATATTTTGGGCAAATGCTTAATAAATACTTCTTGATTTGCAAGTGTTTGCACCTGGAGCCTTCTTATCCTGGAATATGCTTTTGCCATGTAACTTACCCCTCTTCTCACCACATTGGTGAGTTCCTTTCTGGGCCTCCATTTTGGGGATGTGCCCAGGCTGGCTATACTTTATTCCTGTTTCAGCTTCTTACTCTACAGACTTCAGACACCACGCCCCTACATTGGTACCCCTTATTCCCACCCTTCTCCTGCTTGTTAGCTTCCTTTTATGTTTTATCTCCCCCCCATTAGAATGTAAACTCCTTGAGGTCAGGTCTGCCATATTTTGGCTTGTGTTTGTATCATCAGGGCTTAGCACAGTGCCTGGTACAAATCAATCACTTAATAAATGCTTATTGCCTTAGTGCCTTGATTGTGTGTGTGTGTGTGTGTGTGTGTGTGTGTGTCTGTGTGTTGGAATAGAAACTTCTTTAGGGTAATACTCTTTCAGTGTATTCGAAATAATAGTATTAGGCAAAGGACATGATTGTTTTATGACTCTGTGTACTGCCAGATTGTTTTCCAAAAAGATCTACCAATATCCAAATCCACTAACAATAAATGAGTGTGCCTGTTTCTACACAACCCTGCCAGCATTGCATTTTGACACTTTGGGTTATTTTTGACAATTGGATGGGTTTGAAGTAATACCTCAAGGTTACTGTAATTTTTCCCCTGATTCTTAGTGAAGTTTCTTCCTAGTGATGTATAGAATGTTAGTAACTCCTACACTAAGTGAACCTAGAAGGCTCTACTCTAAAATTCCTATGTCTGCTTTTTATACTTTTTTTTGGTTGTTTCTTCTCTTACTTTCAGACTATTCCTATCATAGGCACATAGACTTAGAGATAGAATTATGTGTCAAGCAAGGGTTACCTACCTGAGCACCTCTTCTGTGGAGGAAGGTACATGGACTTTGGACAGCTCTTTCAGGATTCGTGAGCTTTTCTTGCCTGCCTCTACACGTGGGGCTGCATGTGTTCTGGGTCTTTGAAGTGGCTGGAAATCTGAACCCCAGATAAGTGGGATGTTAGTGTAGTACTGCCAAGAACAATTTCAGATGGCCCACTTTAGTTGGCCTCACATACAGGTTTTAATACACTGTGCCAAAAAGTCAGTGGATCTTTTTCCAGACTCAACAGGGCCCAAGCAGTGATACAGTTGATGATGGCAAGCACCAATAGCCAAAGAAATGTTGCCCAGACAGGGGAATCTAAAGGGCTTATAGAGATCAGAAATGTGGGCCAGCTTTTTGGCAGTGGTGACGGCACCAATAAACTCTCGGTTATATGTACTATTTTGTCTGACTCCTTCTGGGCCTTCCTCCTGACTTTAAAATTGGAGCATAAAGAGGGAGACCAAACAGATAACTTTGTGGTAGTGGTATCCAGAATACCTCCTATGGGGGAAATTTTCTTTCCCTCTTCCCCCCACAGTTAGTGATGTAAGATATATTGGGCAGGGGAGGGGAGGGTCACAATGTTTAAAAAAAAAAGATTGGGAATGGATTTTCTAAAAGAGCCAAGGGCTCATTTTTTCTTGTTGTTTTAGTTTGTCCTTTCTCTGCAGCCTGATTTCTTTCCAGGTCCAGGCTTTGAGGGCTTGTGCTAATTTGTATGGCCATCCTAACACCTCTTCCCATCCATTGGCAGGTGCATTAGCTCCAAGCCTCAATGAGGAGCCCAAACATGGCGACCTTCAAACAGCAGAAGGTGGAGGATGTATATGAAATTGGAGAAGAGTTAGGAAGGTAAGAGCCTGTAGACTGTGTGTGGGGACCAGAGAGGATAACAGATGCAGCCAACTCTGTTTACCCTTGTCTTACTGCAACCGTAAACCAGTTTCCCAGGGCCCTGCCTGGTAGCTGCACCCAGACACTGGTGTGTGGTTTTAAAAATGAATGTTCCCAGCCTGAGGTTTATTTTCCGCTTTCAGGTGGGCCTTAAGGAACATGGCCACATGTTTGCCTCTTTGGGAATTTGCTACTCAAGGGAATGGTAGACTTCTCTATTCTCAGGGCGGTATAGTTGACCGTTTTGGTATGGTCAAACTAGTCTCATACTGTTATTCATTTTTAAACAGTTTCTCATTAAGAGCTCTGACTAGGCTCAGGGCAGAGACCTGACCTGTTGATCTGTTTCTCCTGTTCTCATTTGTGACTGTCCATGGCTCCCAGGAATTTCCCTTTTTAAGCTCACGGCTTGATGGAAAGGTGATGTAATCTTTGAAAACTAGTTTGTATCAAAAATAAAAAATAAATTGGCCCATGATGAAATCTCTGATCTGAGTTATTTGGTGTATCAGGTTTGTTAAATCCAGGACTCCCAGGGCAGAATTCTTTTCAAGATCTTGAAAGCAAATAATAATTTGAAGAGAATGGAAATTTTTTTCAACATTTCTTCTGACCTTCTGGTTATGAAAGACCTATTTAAGAAATGTGTATTAACATACTGACATGCACTCTTACTGATTCATTTATGCATGTGCAGCAACACACTCATAGACATGCACTCTCATAATTACCTCATAGGATCTTGGGATTTAGAGAGGCCATCTAACCTGACCTCCTTCTCACCCCCCTCCCCCCCACCTTTTACTGGCACAGGAGGTAGTTGGGGGGAGTCCTCACTGGAGCTCTTTAATTAAAGATTGGATGAACACTTCTCAAGGAGTAAGATTTAGTTCAGTGAACATTTATTAAGCACCTACAGTGGGGAAGACACATTATGCTAGGTGCATGAGACAAAAGAGAAAATAAAATCAAACAGCTGCTGCCGTCAAGGACTTTGATTCAACTGAGTGGGATAATGTAAGGGGAGGGGTGGGGTGAGGAAACAGTCCCACTCATATATGGGTTGGTCTCGATCCCTCCGATGTCCCTTTTAACTTGGAGGTACTGGTACAGATGAGGAAACTGAGGCTCAGATGGGTTAAGTGCCATCCATTTTCTAAGGTTATAGGTTGTAAGTGACAGACCCTGGATTCAGGTCTTTTGGCTCTAGATTCAGTGCTTTTTCTACCACACTGCCTTTCTTTATTTACACTCTCAAGGCTATATGTGTGTGTACACACACACACACATACACACATATACATACATATATACACACATACATACATACATTCTTTAGGCTAAAACAGGCCATGAGGACTATAACTCTATTACCTTTGGGTTACTCCATTTCTCTGGGAAAGTCAATGCAGAATGCCTTATGGGAGAAACAGCACAGAAGTTATTTTGGCCTCCTGGGAAGCTCTTAAGAGTGAGGTCGAATTTTTGTCTCCCTTTTTTTTTTCTTTGAAAGGTGAAAAAACAAAGAGAAACAGCTTCAAAGGGTCAGAGAAGCCCTATTTGCAGGAAGAATAGAATCTCCGGCTGTTTAGAGATCAGTTTGAGTTATCCAGGCAGGGGAGCTGACTCACCCTGAGGAAGGAGGGAGCGGGAGCATCTGTTGGAGGTGGGGGGGGGTAAAAAATCTTGACAGTTATTGACGCTGGGGACCAGCTGCCCTTGCTGGTGTGGATCCTGTTTGGAGGGGTGGGGGGAGGAGTAGAGAAAGTCAGGGCCAAGAGTTTGCTGGGATCTTGAGTTAGAGTTTGCTTTTGTTTTTTTGTTTTTAGTGAGGCAATTGGGGTTAAGTGACTTGCCCAAGGTCACACAGCTAGTACGTGTCAAGTGTTTGGTCTGAGGCCGGATTTGAACTCAGATCCTCCTGACTTCAGAGCTGGTGCTCTAACCACTCGCCACCTAGCTGCCCCTAGATCTGCTTTTGTAACATGAAGCCAGGCGTCTTGCTAGGGTGGTAGGTTCTCAGTCAGTGCCTGGGGAGGCTGAAGGTGAGATGCTTCCCATGGAGGTGGGGGTCCTGGCAGACAGTGTTATTCTTTAATTGTCCATCACTACTTCAGCCCCTAGAAGATGATCAGGGGAGGGGGTAGGCTGAATAGCCTCCTAATCACCCTCCACAGAAGATGTTTATTTTGTAGCATTTTAAAGGAGGAGTTTCCTTGGTTAAGGCTGTTTCCCGTGGGGTTGTTCTAGTCTTCTCTTAGAGGCAGCATGAAGTAGTGGGTAGAAAGGAGTTCTCTCTATCAGTGAGATGATAGGTCCCTATTCCTTTACCTTATTAACCTCCACACCCCCTTTTCCCCTTTCTCTTGGGATTTGGGGCAGGGGTGGGAACCTGCGGCCTCGAGGCCACGTGTGGCCCTGTAGCCCTCAAGTGGGGCCCTTTCTGAAGGTTCCCAACCCCTAATTTGGGGAAATAGGAGGAGGGGAGGGTGGGTAGGTGTCATTAAGGTTCCACCACTCACTACCTTTCCCTCCTACCTAGTTAAACTACTTTGACTTTGTATAGGCATTCCTTCTTTTATTGTGCTTCATTTTATTGGACTTTGAAGATATTGCACTTTTCATAAATTGAAGGTTTGTGACAAGTCAGCGTCAAGCAAGTCTATCAGCGCCATTTTCCCAATAGCATGTGCTTACATTGTGTCTGTGTGACATTTTGGTAATTCTCATGATATTTCAAACTTTTTCATTATTATTGTATCTGTTGTGGTGATCTGTGATCAGTGATCTTTGATGTTACTACTGCAATTATTTTGGGGTGCCGTGAGCTGAGTCCATATAAGACTGAATTTAATCAGTGAGTGTGTGTTTTCTGATTGGTCCACTACCTTTCTTCGTTCCCTAGCTTTCTTCTTCTCCTCGGGCCTCCCTGTTCCCTGAGACGCAATACTAAAATTAGGCCAATTAATAACCCTACAATGACCTCAAAGTGTTGAACAGAAAGGAAGAGTCAATTGATGCAACAAACTTCATTGTTGTCTTACTTTAAGAAATTGCCACAGCTACCCCAGCCTTCAGCAATTACCACCTGATCAGTCAGCAGCCATCAACATGGAGCCAAGACTTTCCACCAGCAAAAAAAGATTACAACTCACTGAAGGCTCAAAAGATGGTTAGCATTTTTTAGCAATAAAGTATTTTAGAATTAAGATAGATACTTTTTTTTTAGACTTAATACTCTTGCACACTTAATAGACTATAGTATAGTATAAACATAACTTTTATATGCACTGTGAAACAAAAAGAATTGTGTGACTTGCTTTATGGTGATGTTTGCTTTAATTTGGTAGTCTGGAACCAAACTCACAATATCTGCATGGTATGCCTGTACTTAACCCCTTCTAATTTACCTCCAGCGTTGCATTTGGACCCCCATCCCCACCCCACCCCTTTTTCAAGGAGAGTTCATTGTTTTCATTAGCCTGAAGACCTGGATTGTAGTCAGAGAGCTGTAGCACAGGCCTGAGACCAGTAACCCAGAGTTTTAACAGCACTCACATTTCTGGTCTTTCTTTGGGGACCTTTCCAAATGAATGATTTAGACTGAGAACTTAAAGATAAGAAAGAGTACACTTAGTTCAACACCTCCATTTTACAATGAAAACAAAAGCCCAAGGAAGTTAATTGAATTGCCTAAGGTGACACAAGTTAAAAGCAGCAGAATTTACAAATCCAAATCTGGGACACTTTCACTGTACCATGCTGGCAGCTCAGATTCGAGAAGTGCGGTAGAGTTATTAAGCCCCAGGACCACTGAGTGGTTCTTATCCAAACAAGTCAAGAAAGAACCCTTCTCCTAATCTGCTGAATGCCAGGTTTGGGAATGAGAATCTCTTTCTGGGGGAAAAGCTGGCTGAGTCAGGTTTCATATTTGGAGTGATTGACCAGGCATAGAGGACCCTGATCTCTGCTGCTTGGGTCTTTGACCCCAGAGCTGGGAACAATGCCTGCTTATCTCAGCTTCAGCCTGAGTTTCTGCCTCTTAGGCCCAAGTGCAGAAACTTGGCCAGTGTAATGCTCATGGTCTCAGGACAAGGGAGGTTATTGCCTCATGACGCTGACTGATGTTTTGAGAAATGGTCGCTAAAGCATTTTGGCTTCTCATGTTCTTGGCCACATGCAAGCCTACCAGACCATCTATGACAGAGAATCATAGCTCATGAGAGCCAAAAGAGAGAAAGACAGGATGTTACAGTAGGAAGGCTGTGTAGAATCTAGAAAGACCTGGTTCAGATCTTCTTTTCTGTACTTCCTACAAGTGTGGCCAGGATGGGCAAATCACTTAATTCTTTTGATCCTCAGTTACCTCCTCTGTAAAATACCTGTAATACTTATCTCATAGCCTTGTTGTGAGGATCAAACAAGGTGATATATTGTAAAGTGCATTTTAATCTGAAGTTACTATAGTAATTTCATTTATTATTCTTCTTATTAGAAGGAACCCTAGAGATTATCTAAAACATATCTAAAAGGATATAACACGTCATTGCAGATGTTATGTCATTGCAGATAGCAGAAAATTTGTAAATAATTTTGGTTAATATAAATTTTACTTACCATGGCATGGTAAATTTATTATTTTCAAGGTAAACAATACTTGCCTATTACACATACACATTAACCTCAAAAAAACATGAGACCATGAACTTGCAAAGGGCTCAACAGAAAAGGCTACTTTTATTGAAGGGAAGGGGCTAGGTGGCTCAGTGAATAGAGTGATAGGTCTGGAGTCAGGAAGACTCGTCTTCCTGAGTTCAAATCCAACCTTGGACACTTACCAGCTGTGTGACCCTGGGCAAGTCACTTCACCTTGCTTGCCTCAGTTTCCTCATTTGTCAAATGAATTGGAGAAGGAAATGGCAAATCACTCCGGTATCTAGGCCAAGAAAACCCCAAAT